GTACCAACCATCTCTTTGATAAGAAACTAAAGAAACTCATATATTTTGACCTATATATCTATTACCGTTGACCGAGTACTTACCTGCAGCTCTTGTTGATAATATTATAATTTTTGCGGACATTTCCATATACATTTTAAACGCATGAMAGAATGAGTTTATATATAGAGGTTATATTTTTTATGATTATGAGTAAACAATATACTCTCAAATCATTATTTACTAAGAATTTTAGAATATGGGTTCAGATATTTCACCCAATCATATCAAATTGACCCATAATAATTCGACTAAAATATCATCATTTTTTATATTTGGGTACCTYTTACTTGGCCTTTAAATATTAATCATTAGTACACGTTATTCCCATTTATTGCGAAGTTTTATCCTACGGTATCTATWACTCATAAGAGAGGTTTCGAAAAACTTTAATGTCTCAAGCGCTATAAAAATAATTTAGGTATAACAAATAACCTATAAGGCTATAACTAATAACTAACAATATTATTAATTATAAAGAGTATCTGGTCTCTGATATTACAGTAGAATAATAAATACCTAATATTATAATGTACATCAACATATATAATAATCGTATTGTACACTGTTTATAATATAATATTTTAAATATAACATAAATATTGTATATATTGGGATGATGTGAGTCACATCATTTGAYTATGTGGGTCACAACCCGCTACCCGCATTATGGAAAAAAACTTTTATCATGTTATATCGGGCATGTACCGTTTCCGCCAAAATTTGAAGTGACCGATTCCGCCATCGCCCGTTTCCGCCAATTAAAAAACGTTCGATTCCCGTTTCCACCAATCTACCTGCTATGGTAAAATTATTATAATTATATATATTATAATAACATAATTTTCTACAATATTGTGAATACAATTTAATATTCTGTATTAATTGCAGTATTATTCGTATTATTTTCAACTTGAAGTAATTGTACGTCGTATATAATATGATAATATTAAATATTGGAAAATATATTTACAAATAATAAAGCAAATAATAATTACATAATATTTTGTTATATAGTTTTAATAAGTAGGTACAATAATAAAGTAAAAGTCACTTATTCATAAATAGATATAGTAGTTTTATGGAGTAAAAAATGTTCTTATCGGTAGTTTCAATCTTATCGATTTATATACAATGATTCCATATTTAAGTAATAAATATATATTTTATAGAGTATGTATGGATAGGTGCCTAATATATATTGTATGTATGTGTGTATTTAAAGTCGCCTGCAGTATCATAGATTAATGTGTACAACTATGACTATCGCTTATTGCTCATTTGTATCTAACATCTCCTTATGTACCTACTAACGCATCATGTGTACGTAGTTTTAGTGAATTGAAATTAATTAAAACATTTTTACGATCGACGATGAACCGAAACACTTAAAATTTATGAACTATGAATAATAATAATTATTATTCCATAGCAGGTAGATTGGTGGAAACGGGAATCGAACCTTTTTTAAATTGGCGGAAACGGGCTATGGCGGATTCGGTCATTTCAAATTTTGGCGGAAACGGGTAATTCCCGTTATATCAAACGTAATTTCGTTTTTTTTTTTCAATTATTCAAATTTATTAAATTAATGAGCCGTATAATAATATGTTGTATACTTACGTCACGTAAAATAATTTGTAAATATTTATTTCRTTTTTGAATTCTATATGGTCAATATTAATCAAAATTGTTTTCCTGATATTTAATTATCGGCCACTCTATAGTTTTGTAAAAGTTCACAAGTTCACTATAATGTTTCCAAACTTTCGTCTTACTTGCGGTAAGTATTGTATCTATAACCTATATAACGATTGCGAAATATTGTATGAAGAATTCGAACGTGTCACTATAGTGACAAGCACAACTAACGCGGATGTGTGTGCAGGTGCAGCTTGCCTCTATTATAATATACTTTATACACACATTTCGACCACYTTTCTGTCGTGACTTTATATCATTGTACCTCACTGTATATACCTACAGTTTATCAATATACGCGTAAATATGTGAATTCTACCGCGAAATTTTTTTTGCATTTTTATTTCAAATTCAACGCGTATACTATAATGGGTTGGACGTGGTCGTGAAAACGTATACCTGTTCTATATTATATACGTATAAATAGTCTGGTGGTGTTTTTGCGYTATTTACATTATAAGTATACCGCGGTTACGTTATGCAAATATCGCGCGGAGGACTGTCCGCACGACTGTTATTATACATTGTACCGCGTCCTGTGACCTCTGTATATTATAACTCCTAACAGTCCTAACCCGCAGCTGCAGTCAGTCGCACGCGAAACAACCGACGACGACGACGGCCTTGCGTTTGTGACTGTGTAGTGTGTAGGCATTTTAAACCAACGTAATTTTTCGTACCAAAATTTTCGCCGACTGCAGTCTACACTCKACAGTGTCGTCCGCCGAACTAGAAAGTGTACGATAATAATATTATTTATAGCGCAACACGAAATAATATAATATAATATAATATTAGGTATTACCTACCTGTACACWGTACGGTGCGGAGAAGGAAGGATGCCGAACTTCCGCCGCGTGACCGGAACGGTCTTCGCCGCCGTCGTCACCTCGTGGATATCCACCTCGGCGGTATGCGCAGCGGCTGCTTCTCCCGGCGTTCAGCGATACGAGCCCGACTGGACCAGCCTGGACGCCAGACCGCTGCCCGCGTGGTACGATCAGGCCAAGTTTGGGGTGTTCATCCACTGGGGCGTGTACTCGGTGCCGGCGTTCGGCAGCGAATGGTTTTGGATGAACTGGAGAGGTAAGCACTGTCGCACCGACTGCGTAGGTACCTACATTGTATATCAAACCCGATTTATTCTTTAATAATACATATTTTACTCGATTTCTGATTTTCGAAGCTTTTATATGCATTCTTATATGCATTCTCAAGGACCATAATATGTTATGTTTTCAACTATTTAGGTTAGTTTAGGTCACCATATAAGTAATTAATATGTATATGATATGAAAATCTAATTATTTGAAAATATGATCCTCTATTATTCCTTAATGTATTTAAAAATGTACAATAACTACAGAACTTGAACAAATTCATAATTAAAGGACAAAATAAGGATGAGCRTCATTGAGCGTGCTTAAAAATCACCTTTATAATATATAAGGAGTAAATCGTATAGGTATGACACGTAACTATTAACTGCTTTATGCATTATTATTTAAATTCGTTTTGTTGTGGCGAATTATTCACAAAAAAACGAAAAATTAATCTAGCCTTTTTTACCATGTTTAATACTTTGTTTTTAAAATGTACCAGCTTTCACATCTAATACCTAATAGTCTTCCAATAAATTGCTTACTCAGGAGTTCTAAATAATAATTTAATTAAAACATACAAATTAATAAATAATTATAATATACTAATGAATTTGGTTTTGAATGTTATACGATATATACCAGTATTATTATTACTATAATATGTAGTATGTACACAATATTCTCGCTACAATGGTTCGATTTCTTCATAGTTAAACTGACACAATAACACGATATAATCACCTGCTACAATATTTAATCGTTATCTACTTATCTAAGTTTAGTTTTGACATAATTTCAAACGTATTTTCACCGAGATAGTTAGGTATTATATGGGAAAGCAGAAGTATTTTTATTTTTTATTACGTTTTATAGTTTATGTTTAAATTGATATTTTACATTTATGAAAATTCTTACCAGGGGCGTATTTAGATTTTTTTTTTTCAGGGGGGGGGCTGTGGTATTTTCTCCAACGGAAATTCCCAATTCAGCCTATATGAGTTAGAAAATTTACATCTGGTAGGACATAATAAGCAGACTTCATAAACAATTCCTGGATTTCGGGGGGGGGGGGGCTGAAGCCCCTTCAGCCACCCCCATGAATACGCTCCTAGTTCTTACTGAAAACGGACAATATAATTATTATTTCAAGTCGTTTAGCCGATATTAGATATACATATAGATTATGCCTAGTATATAATATAAATTTTTATAAGTATTAATAATAAATTTTTATGTGATAATAAAATTATCAAAATAATTATGTTYTGAATCACAATAGTAGGAACACATTTTTTCTATGTTTACCCGAGCGGTTTGTTTGCGTATATTTTTGTCGCTAGTGGCTACTATTATTTGCTATAAGTAGGCACTAACAGTACCTACTATAGTACTATATTGCTTTTATTTGCTTAAATTAACGTTTGTTCATGTAATCATTATAAACGTCTACGAACGATTGTCCATTGTATGTTTAACAAGGTAAAAGTAGTAAGTACACAACACTAAATATTTCTTTGGTGCTGTACTGCTGTGTACTTGTGTCTTATTAAAAACACAATAGGTACACATTCGTAGACATTTATAATAATTATACACAATAGACGTTAATATTTAAGTAGGTTACATTAAAAACCATTATTTATTAACATTTTAACCTTAGATAGATATTCATAGATATAAATGGATTAAAGGTTAATATTTTTGTACAAAAAAAATATTGTTGCATGAATATCTTGTAAGGTGGGTTAACGCATAAACGACAATAAACGATGGTTACCCCCCCCCCCCCCCAAAAAAAAAAAAACGCCAATCATTTAATATTTGAATCGTATAATATTGTAAATTATGATTTTTCATACTTACTCTACGTGCCTATTCAGGTAGAAAGGGCGCAAACTATGTAAATTTCATGACAAAAAATTACAAGCCAGGTTTCACATACCAAGAATTTGGACCCCAATTCACTGCGGAGTTCTTCGACCCCATGCAATGGGCCAGTATCATCAAGGACTCCGGTGCAAAGTAACTACCTATACAATATTATATAATTATTAACGTAAGTTTTCATTTTTACAAACTGTACTTACGGAATCATTAAAATGTCTACGACAAAACTGATGGACATTACGCACATCACTACATCAGTAATCATAATGTATATACCCGCAATTTTTTGTCACACAAATATCAAAATTTGAAAATTATTAGCACTGCAACAGTGCAATACAACAAATTAGGGTGTTTTATACATAATACAGGGAAGCGGGGAAAAAATGAAGGAAAGCCCACCCAGCATTTATATATTTTCCAAAATAATAACTCGGGCTCGGATTTCAATACATTTGCATATTTTTTTTGGAATGTGTTATGGAATATGTTATGCATGTAAATGTAATTATATATATAATTTTTTTGTTTTTAGGTCATAAATGTATTTATTTTTATTTTTAGAGTATTTAATCTGACTCCAAATATTTAATTTACCTACCTATGTATAATGCTTGTATTTTTTGTTACATTATTGTATCTATCACATAATATATAGATACGTCGTCTTGACCACTAAACACCACGAAGGTTACACATTGTGGCCATCGAAAAAATCATTCGGATGGAATTCTGTAGACGTAGGACCCCACAGAGACCTAGTAGGTATGTAAATACAATTAATTATTATGGAGACGACAATTTTATGTCGAGTGACAATGTATTATCATATTATATGATACTATTATGTTTTTCATACGTGAAGGTGACCTGAGTAGAGCCATAAGGAGTTTAAATAAGACTCGGTTTGGGGTGTATCATTCATTGTACGAATGGTTTAACCCGCTTTGGTTACAAGACAAACAGTCAAATTTAACCAGCCGCACATTTGTGACCGAGAAAGTCCTCCCGGAACTATACGAATTGGTAAAAATATTGATGATTGTATATATATATATAAAAAAAAAATAAGGAGTGTACATAATAATATAATATAATTATAAGAGTAACCTACCCAATAAAAATAATAATAAACAGTCTTTATAAAATATGAAAATTATCATAAAGGCTGGTTATTTCATTGATTATCGTTGCAATACAATAATAAAAATGTGTCTTGTACACAATATATACAGGTGAACCATTATAAGCCGGAAATCATATGGTCGGATGGCGAATGGGAAGCTTCCGACACCTACTGGGATTCATTGAACTTTCTTGCGTGGCTCTATAACGACAGTCCTGTCAAAGATACGATAGTGGTGAATGACCGATGGGGTGGAGATACGCTGTGCAAACACGGTGGATTTCTGACTTGCGCGGATAGATATCAACCAGGTATCGTATATAATATTATAGATTTGAACAAAAAATTACATTTGATAAATTAATAAATGTAGGTACGCGTATATAGGTAGGTACAGACGTTACAGTATATGTAGGTATACAGGTTGAATGTTGATCCTTTTATCGAAGTATATTTATTACTCATTTCAAAATCTATTAAGGTTATCTTGTATAAACGTACAACGCAGCAAAAACTGTTTTTGCTGGACACTTTACTCTCTCTCTAGTCTCTGTATTTATAGAAGAATTACAAAAATTCCAAAAYACATAGAGAAGAACTTCATCAGTGCTATAGCTCTGTAGTATATGTTTATGAGTAACATAATAAATACAAATTAYAATTAAAAGTTATCAGTTTGAGAACATACGTTCTTTTCAAGACCTTAATATATTTTAAGTAATAGCTATACTAAGGTAGAAAATTAGACATTAGTACAGGTACAATTAGGTCTATGGTTACATATTATTTATATTTTAGGAAGGGTTGTTGGTCGAAAATGGGAGAACGCCATGACAATTGATAAGTATTCGTGGGGATATAGAAGGAACGCTCGAGCATTAGACGTGTACTCGATAAATGACTTAATCACCCAACTAGTCGAAACAGTAAGCTTTGGAGGTAAATTATACTCAAACTCTATAACAAGTTAGTTATTATGTTTATAGAGTGCAAAAAAAAAATGAATTTACAGGTAATCTGTTACTAAACATTAGTCCTACCAGTGATGGCATGATTCCTCCGTTACACGAAGAGCGTTTGCTACAAATCGGTCAATGGTTGTCGGTAAATGGTGAATCTATTTTTGAAAGCAGTCCGTGGTCGACATGTCAAAATGATACACAGCAACCAAACTTATGGTAAAACCGTAACAACAGTACTTTAAACGTTCATATATATTTATCAATAAATTGTATAAACTTGATTTTAAGGTATACGCGAGGAAAAAATTTTTCGACAATTTATTCAATTGTTTTACAATGGCCAGTTGGTAATTTACTCAACTCTGCGTGTCTGGACAAATTAGATATCGAGTCTATTGTTATGTTGGATACACAAAGTAAACTCAAGGTAATTTACCAAATAGATAAAAAAAAAAGTAACTTTTCGCATTCGTACATGTCTATAATAAGATATTATATATTCATATTTATAAGTGTATAGCGTATACACTAAATTGAATTACAATATTTTTATCACGTTAACTGTACCATTTTAAATTGTTACAGTGGAGTCAAAAGACAGAAGGTGGATTGATGATTAAGCTAGAAGATAAATCTAAAACCAAAACAGAGTGGGGATGGGCTCTACGGGTTACTTTGAACTCTTCGTAGAATGAAAATAATTAATTGAAAATAAGAAATTGAATTCTTAAGTGTTTTTTCGGGAACTGAATCCTCTCAGTTGTACTAATAATATTTCATAGGAAACAATTGTGCCAAACATCTAAAACAAAAATGTTTAATATGTTTTTACTGAAATGAACAAGTACAATTATTATTGTTAGCTAAAATTATCAAATTAAGTTCAAGTATACCACACTTACAGTTAATAAGAACCTTCTGGTCATTAAAAACATGTGACTCCCGGTTAATCCAATATGATCTTTTTGTATTTGTAATAAAAAAAATTCCACCTATTCAAATTTCATTATATATCAATAAATTACCCACTTACCCGGACCTACAGGCCACTATATATATTATAATTATGTTTTTACAATTAAGAAACCATTATTAATTGAACTTGCCTCTTTACAAAATGATTGCTGTGGTATATTATAAAGGAATCTTTTTGGCAATTTGCTGCTCTCGTATATGTTCACGGAACATAAACATAATAAACATCCTCTCAATAAAGAAGCCAAAAACGAAAGTATGGCATGAACGCGGTGACTTAGACTATAATTTTCATTTGTTCGTCTGAATAATAATAATAATWATTATTATTTCAATATAAATTACTATGCTATACACGAGCTAAAATTAACAAGTTAAATTATTAGAAAATAAATATTTTTATTTTGGTTTGTTTAGACGTATATCTACTTAGATATTTACTTTAAATTTGTTTTTTTAATAATATCGGGAACCTATATTAAAGATTGGTGTTTGGCCAGTATGATTTCAGTTTTTTTTCAACCATGATATTATTATAGATACCTAGTTCAATAATGATAATTTAATTTAGAAATACGTATAAGAACCATAGTTGTAGTTTATATTTTTTGTATTTTTGAAATTGAATTAAATTGTTTCCTATGCCTATTTGAACTTTATTGTATGAACACTTTAAACCCATAATAAATAAGAATATTGACTTTTAGTAACTACCTAAATACATATTTTTATAAATAAAAAAATTTGATATAATTATATTGTATTATGAGATTATAAATGTGAATTGTGAATTCTATAAATATGAAAAATACCCTTACAAGATGCCAAGGTGCAATTCTACACATATAATGTACACGTGTATTATCAAAGACACGCACAGCAAATGACAAAAGCAGTCGTTCAATAATCTGGTCAAATTGCACAGCCGCGTGTAGTCCACTCTCAATGTCTTCCATTGATCCGGCGTTAATTTCTGTATTAGTGCATACGATACGATTAGCGCACTTGTATTATAGCACAATATAATATTACAGTGGCGTGCTGAAGATTTTTTTTAGGCAGTTGCCTCAAGACTAAAATTTGAACTGGTGTGTGGTGTCATGTTGATATCATGTTAAAAACACAAAACATATAGCTAGGTACCTATATGGCTATATAAAATGAAATATAATAATATTTTGTTTTTTCGCTATATGTAAACAAATTATTTATGAGGCATAAAAATCCATATTTTGGTTAGTTRTGCGGCATTATTTTTTTGTTTTGTACCAAGTTTAAAATTGTTCAGCACCCACTGTTAAGTAGGTATATAAAACAGTAAGTTGCCTATACTCGTAGTTGACATATATCTGCTACCTAGCTATAGATATGYATTATACGAATATATATACATGTATAACATATCACATATRTATATTGTATATAGTCTATATTGTCTATATAGATATTATAACAATATTCACCGRAAAGGTATATTATGTATATCTACGATATACCTTGCCTTTGTGTGTTTTCATGCGGTCGTTGAATATCTGAAAGTAATTTCCYAACGCTAAACTGCCCATGATGATGATTTGGTCCGAGAAACAGAGGGTGAGAGTCGACACGGAATTGATGACCAAAGCCAACACAGCTATCCATGTGTTGTATTTAATTACAGTAAATACTTGTGGGAACATTTTCAAGACGTAAATTTCGAACACTTCGTGAGAATTCTCCCGTTTCGTCGTAATGATACCTGTCAACAAGTAGCTCCAATGTTCCACTGCAATTCAAAACAAAAATTGTAGGGCATTAGTGAAATTGTATTTAGGTACCTATAATAAGCGATAACTTTTTTTTATACTAATTAGGTAGATAAGGTTAGTGTTGACCAGTGACGGTCAAATGGGGACGACGGACGAGTGGGACACCAGGATTAATTTTTAATGTTTAATATTGATAACCATAAATTATATTTTTAATTATTGAATACTGAATGTCAAAAATCTAGCCATATTCCCTCACCCCATGAATCATGATAACATCATTTGACTACCACTAGCGTGGACCTTGAAAATCTAAACCCCGTAAAACATTCTTTTTAGGGACCCCATACTTAAACAGTTTACATAGAAAAATACAAAGGCCTTAAAAGACTATTCAAAACAATATCTATTCATTATATTAATATCGTCAATATTAAATTCTAATAAATATATTGATTTATCATTTATTTATGAACCACTGTAAATGATTAGATTTTCAAATTCAATAGTTTTTAAGTATACATAGGTATTTAATCTATGTTTGAAWGATCTTAACGAAAACCAGTAGGTAGATAGACATAGGCGTGCGCAGACTTTGTTCACAGAGTATGCGGCTGATAAAATGTGCCCCCCGGGCCCCCCACAGATATAAATGCTCGTAAAATGAATGTGCATAACATTGTATTATAAACTTATGGCTGCTACTTTACTACTCTACTGTCACTTCTATTATATTCTATATGGTATCAACTACTCAACTATAATAAACATTATATATTATTATATAATATATTAATTATATCAGTATTTATACATCGTCTTTTCCAGGAAAATATAAATAGTAAATACCTACCTACCCAAACAATAAAACCCATATTCGGCRATATTCCCTTAAATTATKGAAAAACGTCCAAAATGAATTTAAAAACAATTCCATACTCCATATCGATGTCGTCTTACCATTTTATAATCCAGTCAAAATTATGAACTGAGACATTGTTCAYGTGCCCCCAAGCGTCTGGCTGCAGGGTGTGCAGGCGCATACCCTGCATACCCCGTGCGCACGCCTATGTAGATAGATGTATCATACTACTTATATAAAATGTATAATACGAGATACAATAAAGGTCATCACATGTAAAACAGTTATCGGAAAATGCTGAGCTGTAAAGTATCTTACCGATCGAAAAAATTATACACACGATGGATATGAGAGTGAATTTCATCTTCAAATTCTTTTGGTGGCCAAAGTACCCCTCCACTTGTTCCCATTTGTTTAGGATATTGCACCAGTTCGTCGACAAGTTAATGAGCAACGCCATAGTGACGGCTGACCCACCAAAGAACAAAACTACACCTGTAACAAATTATCTTTATAATTGGCACGGCTATTATATATTATAACAGTTCATGTTTAAATTATTTGACCTCCGTTGAATATGTTGGCGCCGGTCTCCTTCATCCAACAGAAGCTCATAAACGTCATGATGATTTGACATACAAGCGCGAGCACCGACAGAACGGTCCTTATGCTGTACATTCGAAAACGGTCTTGGGATATCGGTATCAAACACAGATACTGGCCGAGTATTGTCGGGAAATTTGAAGCGGATCGGAACGAGTCGGATGGGATGTTGGGCACGTCGAGGAAGTAACAGGTGTTCGACTCGACGTCGACAGTCTTTTGGGGATTTATTTTGAATCGTTTGAAGTTATTTGACAGTTTCACTCCGAGAACGTTCTTCAACATGGCGTGAGTATTCGTTAAATTATATTAATAGTAAACATAATAATGTTATGTTTTACGCCGTAGGTATACTTCGCAAATACGTTTATAAGTTTTCAACCGCTATGTATATACAATAAATTATGTATGCCTTCTGGCTGTCGTAAATATAATTTACTTTGATTTAAATATTGTTTTATGTGTGTTGGATAAACTACAAAGTGCATTTTGATTTTTATCTTGACACATACACATCATATACCTACTGACAGATAAAAAATAATATTTTAAAAACAACTGAATAATTTATATACATTATGTTCAAGATGTTTATCAAATACATAGTGGCATGAACCATGATTAGTGATATAGTCAACAATGCCAACATAAGTAACATTTATAATCATGATTTATGACGTGTAGCTTTGAAGGTAGTAGCTACCTTGTCTGTAAACAAGTTGGAGTGGTCATGAGGAGAATGGTCATTGTGAGAGTTGGCATTAATAAGTAATCAGTAAAATATAAAAAAAATTTTACTGACAACTCACGAGTATAAAAATTATTCTTATTTATTGTTCTTAGATCTTAGTCTACGTCTCATTTTAGGGAACATTACACATATCATGGGCACTGTCTTAAATTTGTCAATTATTATTAAACAATGACAATTAAWTTGTTAAAAATAAAATTAATAATAAGTACCTGTGCTTGTTTACTTCAAATTGATATCAAAATCTAAATAAAACAAAAACTAGATTCAAATTTTGTTGKTGGGTTTACAATTAATTTTGTTTATAGTTGAGAATATGTCTCAAATACTATTTATAGAATACTAAAATAAATCTATGTTTGATGCCAAGTTACGTATTAACYATTATTCATGACTGATAATTTGCTTGTAATAAATTGTTCTTAAGTATAAATAAAATTAATAGTATTGTTAAACTTATGAATTATGAAATAAAAATATAAATTTAATTTTAATATTTTCTTTATTGAATAAAATCAATTTTAATCAAATAAGCATAGTTAATAATATATTATTAACAAATTAATTGATACCGTTTAAAACAGTACCTATATATGTAATGTTCACTAATATAAGGTGAAGACTAAGGTCCAAGAACAATAATAAAAATAACTTATGGAAATTTAAATTAGATCTATTTATTATGCTTTATCGTTTTKATAGATTTACTTTCATTGAACGTCAAATTCATTTTAAGTTATGAAAAAACAATTAATTATTACGCCCCATACAGTCACACCTATAAATCTCTATTTATTTGTATCCTAGGTTATGATCTATTCCATAGTATTAGATTTGTGTATTAAATAAATAATTTATAGGAATAAGCAATTTAATTGTAAAAATATTCAACGATAATAACAAAAAATATCTAACAATACAATTCCATAATATATTACAATAATTCCATATTTTTYTRCTATTGATCAAAAATTGTATTCACATATTATAAAATATAATATCCTTTTTGAAGATTAATTATTAAATGCTAAAAATAAATCATTAATATTATATCACATTTAATGTTTAATTTTAGAGACTTCATAGAGATATGCCGCCATCAGTTTGGTCTGAAACAAAAAAAAAATATATATATATAATTTATAATAATATTAAAAATAATATATTGTCAAATTTTTTGTTGTTAAACTAATATAAACACTATGCATTATAAATATACAAATTWCCAACTAAAACACATGCTAGTGGTTGTTTTTAAAACAAAATTTGGTACTTACTCCTTCAATGTAGTTGCGTACATCAATTTTTTCATTTTGTGAATGAGCACTATCATCACCAGCACCCATTGGTAACAACATTACACTCTTACCAGTAACTTCCTAGAACAATCAATTTTCAATTAATACTTTTATTGATAAACACATCCTTGAGTAATTTATATCTAAATCACAGTCCTCATTAACCATGGTTTTATAAGATAATATTGTGTCTGCTCAATATTTTAACATTCACATCTTTCAAACAATACATAAATATTTCAAAAAAATTTAGACATGGCTAATAAAAACTGCTATTCTGCTTCATAGTCGAATAATGATACCTCATATGCTACCTACTTAATTTTAATGTATATTAAATTTCATGAACCAAATACATTTAAGATATAACGAACTAAATAAAATAATGAAATATAAGAGTGTTGTTTGTTTTATCATATTTAAAAATTAATTTTCATACAAAATATGACTGTATATTATATAAAATTATAAAGTTACCTTTGTTTGAATTTTGTGCCACCTGTTGATGTACATTTTAAAGATCAATAATAATTTAAAATTTTTATTTACTAAAATTGTATTATTCTATAAATATTCACTGTAATCAAAATGAAAAAAAAAAAATAATCTAAAAACTCTAAATAACTGTTTGAAACCAGATGGATCATTTTGAATAACAATGTGAATAATATGTTTATGTATGATGTCATTAGAGGCTGAACAATATGCTCATGTAGAAAAAAAAATATTAAATACATACTTGTAGAGTTAATGTAACAGGTATAGATCCACCGCATCTTGTATAGTCTGGTTCAACATTATAAACAGTTTTAGTAGCTTTRTGAGCTGCTAAAAAGTGGTCATTGAATGGATCTGTTTTCCAAGGATTGCCACCTTCATTAACTGTGTATATCTGATAAATAAATAAAAATATTAATATTATAAAAATAATTCATAAATATTATGTAATATATTACGCAAAATACTACGATTTTAAGCTATACAAAATAATATAATAATAATTTTAATAATTATCTGTTAGATTTCATCAAGTAAACACCAAAGTGACACAAATTTTTAGTTAAATTCAAGTCAACCAGAGGTCAATATGACAATTAAGTAAAACTTTCTATTGTCTAACAATTATTAGGAAATAGAAAAATTGATTTACTCAATTTGTTATATTCCTAAATTAATATGTACAGTAAAAGTATAATTTTMATAAGAATAAATTTGGTAGGATCTACAAAACTTGAATCGGTTATTTTTAGTATTTAATAACAAAAAATAAAAATAAAAAATTCAAATCATAGACTATATATTTTTATTAAGTGTGTGATTTAAATAGTCTAGTTAGAAATATGTCTTTTTTAGAATCTCATTTTTTACAATCAGACATAAAGTCAGAACACATTTTTCAAAAGGCAGAAAGTCCAAAATGTCTTTTTAGTTTGGTGATTAAACTTTTTCTAAATATAGATATTTAATTGTTTACCGTGTTTCAGTKTAACAAATTAAACCAATGTACTTTTATTATAAAAATGTATTCATTCTATGTACAATTGTACATTGAATACACTTATTATGTCAAATTGTGTGATATAAACTACTCTCATAATATTGAAGATATTATATATTAATATTTAGAAATAAATTAACACTATTTAAATTAATAAGTACTAAAAATGAAATACTTTAAACTTGTTAGGGCTTTGTCGTTTTTCCCAAAYACTTTGAACATAGTTTTTCACTATTTCTGTAATTCTTGATGGTATTTGATTTGGCACTAATCGAATGGAAAATTTTCCTATTACTTTACGTGGTATCACAGTCTTAAATCCAGGGCCTGAGAATGCTCCTTCAATTCCATGAACTGATAAACTAGGATATCTCCAATTGCTCATTAATAATTCTTCCTGAAATTTAAGTATCCTTAAAACTGTTTTATACTTACATTGTTTAATTTAAATACTAACTTTAGTTTCTTTCTGTGATTTAGATGCACCAATTTCATTGACATATGCATCTACATCAAATTCTATTTTTTCATACAATTTTTTTTCTTTTTCAGACAATGGTTCTACTCCTTCATCAATCCCCGGTATTAAAATGTTACCTTTTACATCCACCAATTGATTAAGAATATATAGTAAATCTGACATTGCTTCGTATCTAAAACAAAAATGTWATTATTAATATTATTTAAATTTTAACTAAAATATAGCTAATCTCAGAGTTGAAATCAAGATACCCACTGATATGAACGCAATTAATCAAACCTATGTTGTAAACATATATCTAATTTTCTTATTTAAAAATCAAACCCAATTATTACATAATTAAAAATTTATTTTTAGTGATAAATACATAAATTATRGTCCATGGTAATAGATTCTCATTTGTATCTATAGACTTTTTATAATATTTTAAACTGTTATTGATAATAATATAATAAAATTAAAATGTGAACCATAAAACATAAAAAAAATTCTTATAAGTAATTTTTGCTATTGCTTACACTGTTCCACCATACATTCCACTGTGCAAATCCTTACTAGAACCTTCAACTTCAACAAAGAAGGAGGACATACCTCGGAGTCCATATGTTAAACAAGGTTTGTCTGTGCCCAACCAATAACTATCTGATATACATACATAATCAACATCTTTCAAAAACGATTCTTTCTTTTGTATCAGTAGTTCATCTAATCCAACACTACCAGATTCTTCCATTCCTTCAAAAACAAACTGCAAATCAAATAATTTATCATTAAGTAGGTACATAATTAATGATTTATCTATCAATGTTAATATTATGTACATTCTAACCTTTAAATTAACAGGCAAATCAGTTCCAGTATTTTGGTATGCTTCAATAGCATGAAACCATCCAAGAACTGGACCTTTGTCATCTGAAGAACCTCTTCCATACAATTTTCCATTTTTTTCGGTTAAYACAAATGGTTCACTAGCCCATCCATCAGAAATGTCAGCTGGTTGCACATCTAAATGTCCATAGAGACATATTGTGGTTTTAGTTTTGTCATTGCCTAATGTTCCTATTAAGACTGGTGGAAGATGAACTTTCTTATCATTTAAAGTCTAAGATAAACAAAATTTTATACAAAATAGTCAAATAGTTTTAATTTTATTATTTATAAATAATAAAATAAAAAATGCAAGATGAGATTGATTTAAACAATCAAAATATTTTTAAATTATTTTTCTAAGACAAGTATTTAAAATAACATAAGGTATATTTAGAATTTAGCAATTTTTTAAACCAGAAAACAAAATTATTATTTATAATTTCATAATTATTTAATTCAGATTTAAAAAATTATTGAAAACCTTGTTTAAACTTTAAAC